TCATGAGGAGAGCAAGTTGCGAAGCATTGCAGCTTCTGTGCAAGCCAGGTGTTGTGGACACAGTGCTGTGCGTTGTCTCCTGCGCGTTTGGCTGCTCCTGCGGTTTGCTAGTCTTGGGCATCGTATGGTTGGTGATGCGGCCGCTGCCGAGCACTTGGCTTCCTTTGATTCTGCATCTGAACGTCCCAGGGCTTCCCTGCAATTACGCAAACATGCTCAAGTGAAAGGATTGGTGGCGGTTTGCTTCTGGTCTGCGCTGTGCTGGGGGCTGCATCCTATTACCTTGCAAAGCAGAACAAGGCTGGAAATTGCATGGGACCACAGTGCTTCCTGCGAGGGCACTTCGGATTGTTTGTGGAAAGGGGGATGGCACCAGACAGTTGCTGCCGGCAGATGGTGAAGGGGCATGAAATTGTACAGCTCGTCAAAGGATGCAACTCCTTGTGCATCAAATTCGCTAATGACCCGCGTTGCAAGGCACAAGCTTTTCAACGGCTTTTTCTCTTGCCTCCAATAAATTGCAAGCTGCGCTGCGTCTCTGAGTGATGGCAGCTCAAAGTAGCGGAAGCCACATCATTCAGACTATTGGGTCGAAGAAAGAAGCTGCGATGCCCCGTGTTCGAGCTGCATAGGTCCTCTTATGGTGTTAGTTGCCTTTGCCGACTGAGTTGCCTACAGTCAAACCCAATAATGGCAAAGACCTTCGCCGGCCTGGGCGGGTCTCCCTGAATCTGGGGTACACACAATATGTTAGAGCCTGACGGTGGTTTTCGGAGAGGGGCTAACACAACAACTTTGGAGAGCGTGGCTTGGCCACATATTCAGGGTTGGCCTGCGAGTCTTCCAAGCCCATGTAGAGGGCCCCCGGACTTGCGGCGCACATTTGGATACCTTGTACGTCCTGCCCATGACGACATGCTGGTGCTGCTTGCAGCAACGTCATACTGCAACTTCATCTTGCTGCTCTTGTCTTGCTGGCAAGCAGTTGAGGACGTGACTGCAGTCATTGAGATCATGCTGCTAAATTGGACGGGAATGTCAATGATATGATATAGGGTTGAGGACGCTGCTTACCTTGAGCAGAAAATGGTCAATTACAGACTGAACATTCGCCTTGGCCTGAGCATGTTGCAGCCACGCCACCTTCATGGGTGGAGGTCGCTTCCTGCTTCCGCTGGCGAAGCCTCCGTGTTTGACTTTGCTAGGCAATGCAGCTAGCATGGACTCCATGCTTTGTCTTTGTACAAGCAGTGATCACGTGCCTGCAGGCAGGTTGCAAGCATTTGAGGGGTTATGTGGCGAAATCCAGCCAGCCCATGCAGAGAATATGCAGAGCATGCTGCAGAGCATGCAGGTGAATGGAGGAAGGTCGGAGCCCAGCCGGTGCAACACCAGCACCGTGGACATGGCCGAGCCTTTCTTCTCAATGTGCCCAGAGGTGCCTTCTGCTGGGTAACAGCTAAATCTTTTCTTGGCACAAGTGTGGGATATCTTGTTGCCCAAGCCTGACAAACGAAGTGACGAGTGTGGATGCATGACGTCAAGGAGCGCAGGCAAAACCGAAGGTATCTTGCACTCTAATGTGGCACCCTGATTAGTGTAGGACCCCCACCGTCAACAGACAGGGCTCCATCTTTAGTGGAAGGGGGCCTCCCAAACAAATCTGTATCTCAGCTTCAAATTAGAATGAAAGGGGCAGGATCGGGATCGGCTCAGGTAAAAGCTCAGAAGGGTCTCCGAAGGCTCTAATCGGGCTTTCAAATCATTATTCTCATTTGTTTTTGAACCGCGAAACTTCGCACACTAGCGCCCACAAACAAATCAGGGGATGCTGAATAATTTCGGCGAAACTTCGCGCAATCAAGGCCCCCCAAACTGATTGGGAACCAACATTACGGGTTTCATCAGAACGTGTACAAATGGAATTATTGGGGACGGAGATTCTGCGGGAGCTTTTTGTAGAACCTGTCTCGAAACCTGGCACCTGATTGGATTACAGTCAGGTTGACCGAGTAAGTGGCAGCCAGAGTGATGTCACTTCGCCAGCATTGCACAAGCTGGCATTGCACAAGCTCGGTGAAGTATCTTCAGTCGACGCATCCGTGCACTCCAAAGTGGGGCCACTGGGTTTCAACGTGGTCTTTTGGTTGCCCGAAAGACGACCCCTCGTCGGGGTTTGGGGGGTGGAGAGGATATCTGTTCTGCAAGGGGTTCTCACTTGTAGGGCCTAATAGGCCTCGTCATTTTTGGATTCTCGTGTGTGCAAGGCATGAAACCAGTGCTTTCTTTCTTTAATGTGTCTCGAAGTGTGGGCAGTTTACTGTGCATAGTCACCCTTTACGTTTGACCAGCTGCGTAAACCATTTGGCTCTATGAGGTTGACCTCATGAAAACAGTTGCGCCTCAAGCCTGCATGTTTCCTTGCCACCCTTTGCTCTTTCCTCCCATGCTCAGGGAGGACGATGTTAAAGCAATGTTTGCTTGACTATTCTTCACGCCCCTTCTGCTCACTTCCGTGTTTTACTATCCCGTCGCAGCAATCGATCGCTCCTCTGGCCGCTCCAGTTTGTTTGCCTTACGCTGTTTTCTTTTGCATTGCTTGTGGGTGTGGCAACCACTTGCTCTACGTTTTGCGGCTGTCTTCGATGTTGGTAGCTCGCTGAGAGTGCTCAGCGGGAGCATTGATTGTTGACATTTGCGAAATCTTCAGGGGCCTTTCAAAACGGCTTGAGAGAACACGTGCAGGAGCCTCTCTTACGTGTTGGGTGCCAAACATGGGAAAGTATCGGTACCTTTGCCAGAAAGCAACAGCAATTCAGTTGTCGCCTCCTTGTGCGTCCTTGAGAATAGGTGCAAGCCTGCGGTGGCCTCCTCCACTGTTCCATATAGTACATTTCTCACTATCATCCACGTGGCAAGCAGTCCGATGGTAATTAGCTGGTTTTTGGATAGGCCACTTGACATGCAAGCGTTTGCTCTTTGAGCGTGGCTGTCGCCTGAACGATTTTTCCCTTCAACACCTCACACATACATCATTCAGCTGCCACAGAACGTATAAAGGCCTGACACAGCATTTCTTTCAGAGTTAAGGTTCCTCGGAATCAGCAAAAATCAGTGACACTGTTTACGCAACTTCTTGGTTGTTAGGGCTGCGTTGGTTGAAGCTCATTTGTTAGCCTTGTACGCAAAAACTGGAGAAGTCTGCTAGGAATGTAATCTTGGCAAGGGAAACATGATTAGTTGCCCTCACCAGCCTCTCCACAAACCCCGCCGGAAATCCATCCCGCTGTGAGAGTTCCAGGCAAAAGAAGTGCTGGTGAAGGTTTGTGGGCAGCCCCCAATCGATGTCAAGTAAGAAATTGATGCCGTGATATGACTTTTCGCTTGAGTCCCCGCAAAACAGATAGACTTGCGGTCATCCTTGTATTCCATCCCGCGCGTGCTGCTATAGAGCAGTTCAAGCCCAAGTAGCTCGTAAAATGGTTTCACGATAGCCTTTGCTGCAGGTTCTGCGCTCAGGTGAGCACTGTGAGGCTGTTTGCGGGCCAGGGCAACTGGCCTCATCCAGCGTGCGCTGCCAGGACAAGCCCAAGACTGCGGGGTCTGCTGCAACATGATACAAACTCAGCGATCGAAAGACTTCAAGAGCAGTTGCGTAAAAGCTGTAAGTAGAAGGCAGCTGTGCAGGCTTTCAACATGACTCTCGCGTGCAGGAAGGAAGCCTTCAGCTGCCAAATTGTACCCCAGCCGCGGATAACGAGACTGGCGCAACTCTTTCGGAAGATAGCAGCGCGAGCAACACGACTACCACCGGAATGTGGACTACGTCTTTGACGAGCCATGCTCACCGCAATTTCAGCCAGGCAGCTGGCTGGAACCACAACTTGGGCAAAATCACAGAGGAAGAGAACCAGTCAGCGAGCTGGAATGATTCAAATGTTCCACGCATCAACTCATCGGTAGATTTGACAGAGCCTGGACCTAACATGTCGGTGTCAGCACGGACAACCAGCACCCGCACTTCTTACCGAAGCTCAACTCGCACAACAAGCTCGACAACGACAAGTTTGACAAGTCAACTCCACCCAAGTACCACAAGCACCAGTGCAACGCTCACAAGCACACCAAGCACTAGCACGACAACCACAAGCACGACAACCACAAGCACGACAACCACAAGCACGATGAGTATGAGCCTGACAAGCACGAGCAATCCCTCGAACGGTGCGACCAGCACAGGCCGCTCCAGCCTGACACCAACGATTACCAGCACCTTGTCCACGAGCACCGCAAGTTTCAGCACAACGGTTTCAACGGGATCGCCCCTCTTTACCAGCTGGACCAGAAGCTCCTCCTCCTCCTCCTCCTCCTCCACGTTCTCTTCCACATCCTCCCCGTCGTCCTCGTCGTCCTCGTCCTCCTCGTCCTCCTCCTCCTCCTCCTCGTCCTCCTCGTCCTCCTCCTCCTCCACGTTCTCTTCCACATCCTCCCCGACGTCCTCGTCCTCCTCGTCCTCCTTGTCCTCCTCGTCCTCCTCGTCCTCCTCGTCCTCGGGCTCTTCAACGTTGTCTGGCAGCTTGGTGTTCACCACAACATCAACTCAGACAGTGACAGATGCCACGAACAGTTCCGATGCCTCGCTTCTGCCCAATACATCCACAACCACTGGGCTACGCAAGCCGACGAGGTCCACAACCTTTACTTCTTCCCAACTTACCAACACAACTTCCTGGCTTCCCGACAACGCGACGTTCAACACAACTTGGACCACAACTTCCACTTCCACAAACATGTGAGCTTCTCAGCTTCTCCTGTCAGCTCTGAGTTTGAGTGCCTGAATACGGCACGTTCAACGCGTTAGCAGCTCTGTGCAGGCAGTGGTGCACACTGGCAGACCTTGGCTCGACTTCCTGTCCCAGGCAGATTACGATTGCTTGACATGCATGAGGTTTCTTGCTCACGTCCAGGTACATGTTGCCAATGGAGCGCTGTGCTGCAACATGTTCGGAGCGTGCGTCTCAATCAGTGTCAACATGGCTGGATGATGAAGGACTCTAGCATTGACTGCGCCAGGTCAACGCAGCCCACGCCTGCTGGCATCTTCATCTGCATCCAGGGCCGCATCTTTGGGAGCTCCGGGTGCTTGGAAGCCGCTTCCTCAGGTCATCTGCCTTCTCTTCATATTCATTTCAATTGACTGCATCCTGGCCGCCTCTGTCGTTCAGGAACCTCGCGAGTGGCGAGGTCCTTTGCTCGCAGTAGCTCTACGTGCTGGTCAGAAGCCCAGATTGTTCTGCGGGCTTGAATTGCTTGGAGTATCTTGGAGTTGCCACTACTCACTACTCGTCTCAAGTTGGAGGGTGCCGGCAAATTATACGCGATTAGCAAAGTGGTTTTTGCGGGCCAAATGTAGGTGGAGCAATGCGACACACAAAGCTAGCTTTCTTCAGACGCAGAGCATGGGCATCTGGCCTTTGCAGGTATGTTTTGGAATGATCGGCCGGCGTCACTACAAGAGACCTTGAGGCCAATCCCTCGATCCGCTGTGAGTGGCCTCTGGGGGATGGGCCCAGGCGTGCTATGGCAGTGAGCCTCGGCACCCTCCCTTCCGACATCGTTCGCGTACTCCTTGTGTCCGAGACGCAAGAAGGCCCTTCCGCAGCCTCTTTGAAAGACTGATGATTTCACCTACACGCCCAGGCTCAGAGCTTGATGAGGCTGGCTTTGTAAAGGAGTTGTATGATTATGGATTGTCAGCATCCACCCTTGCTCGGTAGAACGCATACTGGAAAGCATCCTGAGTGTTTTCAAGTTGCGCCTGTGCCTTGAGCAGCAGATCTCCCGTAATGATTCGAAGTCTAGTCTTGCTTTTGGTTTCGTGTGGTATGGTTGCAATTCTTTCATACGCAGCTCGCTAGCCCTATTGCAGCTCAGAAATCCTCGTCTATGCAGCTTCCCTACCTGCCTTCTTGCCGGCTCGCGACAGTTGTAATCGCATGTTCTTGCAGAGCAGAGTCCTGCAACCCAGTGCCTTCCGTCGCTGGTGGCCTTTGGCATCTTTTGTCCTGTGCTGTCTGCTGTAGGCAGGCTTATATATCGTGGAGTGGGAGCTGGAGGCGTCGACTTGAGCAGATCATCAATCGGTGAGATAAAAACATGCGAATGATGCGGTTCTGTAGCAGGTTCGCTCGAACGAGGAGACTGGGTTTCAGGAGGCGAACTGGGGATGGCTCGCAAGCGCTCTTCAGGTGCCGAGCTTGTTGGCACAGGTGTCGGAAAATATTGAGAACTTGGCAAATGCGTTCGCAGCCTCAGCTAGCTTTGTCCTCGGTCGTGCGGCATTGTGGACTCGGCAAGCATGTGAAGGTCTAGTCCTGTGGCCGTGCTATTTCGAAACGTGCTCAAGGCCGTTTGGGGGTCGAGTTGTTTTCTGCTTTTGATTTGGATGTGGTTTGGTTTGAAGGTAAGTGTCAGAGGCTGTCGCGATTGAGTGATGCTTCGATTTATGGAGATGCTCAGCTATCTCTCGTAGACAATTCTCCGCTTCGACTGCGTGTCGAAGCCGAAATTCTTTATTGTGATCCTGTTGCTAAGCTGTTGTTCAATGTCGAGATGTTGTAGGCTAGGATGTCTACACCAAGTGCGCGGAGGTTTGTATATTCAAGAGGGGCTGGAGGACGGAGGAGGGCGAAGGCCTTTCAGCAATTTGCAAAGTGTTTGGCATTTCCAGGCACTGTCGGACATTTCGTTGAGATGGGCAATCATCGCAATGAAGCGTGGGGCTTGGTCGCGCCCGATAAGCAGCGGCGCCATGAGCCAGTGTGGTGGTGCTTTTGTCACAAAGGCCAGTTACGTACAATGGGTCTGTGTTGAACCTGACCACTGTTCCAGGTGTGGCATGTTTTCTGTACCGAGACTGAGATTTGGGCTAGCGCTTTTTGGGAGGAGACCCTCCGCATACTCCAAGTGATGCTGGTGAAAACCTGGCCGGGTTGCTATGAGCATGTGCGCAGAGGCGCTGGCAAGTCTGGAAAACAATGCTTTGCCACGGAAGGCATCCGACAATTCAGCTTCGGTGGCTGCCGTTCTCCTCTCCCTCATGGTCATTCCTGTTTCTGCTGGGGCCAGAAAAACAAATTGTTGGAAGGCTCATGTTCCGTGATGCAAGGCCTCGATCATGCGCTTCATCTTTGCTGACCAGCGAGTGCGGCGTGAGCTTCCTGCAGGACTCCTGGCGGACTCCGCGTCCCAAAGGCAAGGATGCAATGCGTCAGGACTTGTCCCTGCAGACGCATCCGAGCTACAGAAAGCTCAACGGCGAACTAAGACAAAGGCGACCCGAAGCATGCTCCAGGAGCCTTCCTAACTCTGGAACGGTTCTTCTCGGATGCATGGGCCATCCAGCTTGCCAAGCAAGCCCTGGCATAGCCAAGCATCCACCTGTTGCAATGTACATAGGGTCTGGTTAATGGCTTGGTTTGCCAAAGCAGCAGGCCAATCTCGAAGAACACTCGAAGAACGCTGTGAGGATATGAGCCCAATTTTCTTTTGTAGCAGAATGTTGGGGGTCTAGCATTCCCGAAGAAAGACTCGAAACTGGAGATGTTTGCCACAGAGGCTCACATGTCACAGATTTTTTGCAAGCGGCCAACAAGCTGTGTTGGAGTTGTGTCCGCAGCGTCAGCCACGTAAGATGTCTATGTCTATGACTTAATCTTGGCCGCACACGTGATTGCAGGATGGCACGGGTCCTTGCCAGAAATTGTAGCTGCTGCTTGCAACGGTCTACGATTTCGCTAGGGATGAAATGCAGACATGGAAGCAGCTTTGCTGCCAGAGGGTTCAATTTACCGTCACGGCTGTAAATACTTCAACAAACGTACCATCAAATAAGTACAAGTTGTGCTGAAGCGCCTGTTGCGAATCATGGCCATACTCCGGTGCTGATTCTGCGCGAAGATGGCTCTGGTCAATAACTCGGAGGCACGCTGAAATTAGTCTGAGCACCGCCGGGCAGCTGAGCAAGTTCCCACCGCACGTGGTGATCTGCGTCTTGGGCTCGGTATACATGAATCGCCAGGTGCAATCTCAACTGGCTTCGCTGGTGCAGGACGCTCTAAGGCGCTTGTTGCAATCTGCTGTTGCTAGTGGTTTTAGTGATTCACTGGTTCACCTCTTCTGGACAGCCCTCTCCATAGGTTAGAAACTCAACTTCAAAATGCTCGTGGAGGGAGAGAGGCACCGCGAATCGGTTGTAACTCCGACGAGACAATCTGTGAGAAGTCCGAAAAGAATGACACTCTCCATGCTGCCTGGAGTATACGGGACGTGTGCAAAATGTCGGCATGGATAGAGGTGAACAGTGTTGGAATTTGGCACCTCAGGTTTTTCAAGGCTGGCTCCAGCAGGAGCTGCATGCGCATGAAGAGCGATTGAGGAGTGGATTGATTGATGACCTCTCCCAACTGTTCAGGCGGGAACTTGGAGCACTTTTCATGAATCGATATATTCAATTTTCAGGCAAGAGCCTCCGAAATTGGCTGGCCAAGATATGGACCGCCAGGCAAACACCAGCCGCAAGGAAGCTATTGTCGAAATAGCGACTTCAGCTGCACTGCTGCTGGCCAGGATGAGTACGAGACTGCCAGTTCTCACAGGCCAACTGGCAAAACAGCATTTCCTTAGCTTTGAATAAGACCACGCTGTTGTGGTTTTGCTCTGGTAGGTCAAAAGGTGCTCCCTCTTCACCAGCGTCCCCTGCCAAGCTGGTGGCGTTTGGTGGTGGCCCTGATGCGCCAGAGAGCGAGTCGAACAAGGATTTGTTCTCGGCGTGTGACCAGTGCGGCGTGTGTACTGCTTTGCTTCGAAGAGTCATCAGGAGGCAAGGCTGCCTGGCATGGTGCCTGATGAGCTCAGCGCTCCAAAGCCGTTAGCTCAGCTCTTTTGAAACTGCAAAGTCAAGAGGCAGCCATTTGCATTCCGGCCCTATCTTCTGACATGCCGTATGACATCGTGCTAGCCAACTTCAACAGATCCATCATCAGCATTTGCTATGGTCCGGCCCTGTAAGTCTTTATGCCACAGGCAATGACAACTTCATGATGAATTTGTCTTTTTTGAGTTGAGAAGGCCTCATGGTTGAGCCTTTGGCCACGCTAGGCGCAGGCACCATTCCTGCACTTTTATTGACGGCTTCCAACACGTTGGTCGTTTAGGAGGTCTCAACTTTGTATCGTGTCATCAGAGCACGACCACGTGGTCATACGCCACAGCATCCACAGCACCAACTCTCATCTGCTCTCATCTGAGTTGCGAAGGTGCAACATTTTTCATGCCTTGCAGAAGCCATCCAGTGGAGTGAATCCATCCAGGCTTTGCTTGTGGAGACGAGCGTTTGTTAATTTGCGCTACAGCATATGAGCGGTTATCAATATTAGGCTTACCAAAGGATCATTAGGGTTTATAGGGTTTGTGGGGCTTAGGGGGTTTAGGGCCTGGGGTTTAAGGTTAACAAGGGACCTCGTGGACATGGGGTCCTTTTGGTAGTTTAGTATAGTCACAGTCCTGAATTTATTCCCTATTAGGAACCTAAACCCTTAGCCCTAAATCCCTAAACCCTAAAGGTTGTGGCACAGGCAAGTGGCCTTGCCCCGAACTTGCTTTGCGGATGCTAGGGCTGCTAGGGATCTGAATGCGGGCACTACAGTGCCTTCGCCGTGTCCACCATATCTTCCAAACCCTTCGATTGGGCTTTGCCACGAAATCAAACACGAGAAAAGTACATAAATCAGGCAGCCAAAGACTGCCACGCTCGAGATGTTGCATGTCAAGATGGTAGACCAGGATTTCCTGCTAACCCCAAAGAGGTACTTGCAGGACACTGCATCTAGCAGAATGTTGCTGATATTTGGGAAAGCGTATAGCAAAAGCAGTAAATTGCATGGCGAAGCTTCGTAGATTGTACCAGTCCTGATGCCCACGACGGCTCGGCTTCGCTGAAGTTGCAGAAGCTAAAAGAAAGGCGCTCTTTCAGAAGGTAAGGTCGTCTCCACAGCATGAGGTGAGGCATTTTGCAAGCCAATCAAAGGATGTCAAGTGAAGAGACAGAAAGCCTTGATCCTTGAGCAGCAGCATCTTCCTGCAAGGTCAAGGAAGTCCTACAGGTTCACAGGCCCGGATCAGGCAGAGATCAAAGCGGCCCAGAATCGAAAAACCATGGTCAGAGGGGCGACCTTTGGAGGCTCCGACGGGTCCGCCGGACTTGCAATGACTTGCAGATCGTCTCTTGATCTGATCCGCTGAGCCAGGCGTGGAGGAGATTGCCCCATGTCCTGTTGTACCAGTCGCTTCAGATCCAAAGCCCCTACAGCTGGAGGAGGCCAAAGTTTAGAAAACCCCGATTCTTGATACGAAGCAAAGTAGTTGAATGCAAGACACAAATTCGGCGAAAGACATCCTTTGCAGGACCCACCCGCAGCAGTTCATGCTTGGTACAAAGTCAGAGAGTTTATTCGCCGCAACTTTGTGGAGAACACCTGCTTTGGGTACGTCATCATTACTTTCATTGTGCTGAATGCAGTCATGATGGGCATCCAAGCTGATTGGATGGTTGCCCATATCGGCCAAACAGCGCCAGAGGCTTTTGACATGTTTGAGAACTTGTTCGCTGTCATCTTCACATGCGAGCTGGCGATGCGTATTCTTGTCTACCATATCAGGTTCTTCCGCACAGCTGAATGGAAATGGAATCTTTTTGATTCAGTCGTAGTTGGCTTGCAGATAATCGACATCGTGTCCACAATCGCTGTTGGGCCGGATGCGAACGTGTCGTCCGAAACTGGCAACTTGAGCTTCATGAGGATCATCCGCTTGATGCGCTTGTTACGGATTCTGCGCCTCATGCGATTGCTGCGCTTTGTGCAAGAGCTGCGTTCCATGGTCATGTCAATCGCCGCTTCACTGAAGTCGCTGATGTGGACAATCATCCTGTTGGCATTTCTCATGTACGGCGTTGGCGTTTGTTTGACACAAATGATTGCTGACAGAGGATTAGAGGAGCCCAGAATTATGGTGCTCTCTCCGGACCTTAAGAGTTACTATGGGTCACTGCCTGAAGCTTTGGTGTCTCTTTTTCAAGGCATCACCGGTGGTATTGATTGGAATGATCTTCTGGAGCCATTAGAGGAACAAATTTCACCGTGGCTGGCAGTTGTGTTTGTTCTGTACATTGCGTTCGCGGTTCTGGCCATGATGAACGTCGTGACAGGCAGGGCGGGATAGCGCATTGAAGTATTTTTTGCAACAAATCATGTGCTGAGCGGCGAAGCTTCGGCAGGAATTTTCGTGGAATCAGCCTTGCAATCTACTCGGGCAGACGAGGAGAAGGAAGTGCGAGCACAGCTGGACGACATGTTCAAGCACCTCTCTAGAAATGCAGACCGTTCAATCTGTAGTGTTTGTTGTTAAGTAAGTGTCAGATTATGTTCCCAGCTGTGTGACGGAAGGCTAGAGACCTTCCTTTCTGATGGATTTGTCTGGCAGTACACCACCAGATAGAGAAAGGATTTTGAAACTTGTACTGCCGCACCTGCCTGTTGCGGTACCATCGGAATCATCGAGCACATTTATGTTGAGGAGATTTTCTGAATTTGACCTCACTATCTTTCGTGTCTGTAGGGCTGAAGCGCTTGTTGAACGTTGGAGTCCCGCTCTTTGAAGGCATGTCGATAAAGAAAAGAATGGAAGTATCTCCTGGCAGGACACAGGGCTTCTCGATTACTGGGGCAGTCAATCGCAGCAGCGTTATGTCGCAGTAATACATACTAAGTGCACATGATTCAAACACTTTACATGGTATCCTTTGTGTCCATGTGCTGGATTCCAGGAGTTTGTCCAGTCGCTGGCCGGCAATTCAAGGCTACCACGTAAGTTGGGACTAAGACATCATACGTCGCGGCTTTGCGGGTCCCAACCTAGGCCCTAAACCAGCTACATATTCCATGGCTTCTTTGTGTTCAAGCTGTGCAAATCTGGTCACATGGGGCATGCTCTGTCCTGAGACGTCCCGTAGATTTGTGGGCAGACGTGCGCCGAGGTCACTGGAGAACCCCGAAATGAAGAGATGCTTCGAGAGCTTAGGTTTCGACATGGCAGAGGCACAATTTTCTGTACGCTTCAGGGTTGGCATCAGACAGCCCACATGGGGCCTGTGAGAAGCAGCAACGCCGAGGCGTTGTATTTAAGCAGCCAACTCTTAATCACAATCGCTCGCGCATCTTAGCTGTCCGGTTACATTCCGGAGGACGAGTGCATAAGTTGAACAGAGTGTCTTTGAGCGGTTCTCTTCTTGTCTCTGCCGCTCACCTTGCTGAAGGTAATCATGACTGCAGCTAGCCAGGATTTAGCGAAGCCTGTTTGGGCAGCTTCCCATCCCCACCCACACCGCCATTGCACGTAGAAACGTTATGCGCAGACCCTCAATGTTGCTCCAATTCTTTACCAAAGAACAGAAACACTGTCAAGTCTGCAGTAGGAGACCTGGCAGCACAATGCAGAGTGTGATTTTCGCGCTGCACCGTGCTAATAACTTTTCCGAATGACTGCTGCGTGAGTGTGTTTTGCTGATCAGCTGAAAGCTTAACTTGAAGGTCTGCGCGCATCACGTACTGTCTCCCGGAGTGACACTACTTGAATCTGCCCGCATCCGCAAAAATGCCGTTTGGCCTCTCATCCTCATTGTTGAAGTTTTCCTGCATTTGGTCTTGCCACCTGCTGAGACTGTTGGACAATCTATGCTGGAATTTTGGGTTTCATCAGTCTTGCAAAATGAAAGCAATGTTCGGAGAAGCAAGCGGCCGAACCAGGGTGCAAAATTAATCCATGCGCAGAGGTTCCAAAGGTTAGAACCTTTACGGCGCTCTGCAGGCATACGGTCTCTTCAACTTGCTTGACACTGATCAATCCGGTGAAATCGACTGCGAGGAGTTTCGATGACTTGAGTTTGCAGTTAAGTGTGCCCACATGCAGTCACTGCAGTCGCAGCCAGCCTGTACAGGAGCTACTGGAGGGCTGCTTGCGTTTGCGGGGATCAGCAAACGCGATTGATGTTGCCACCCTACAGCAAGTGCCTCAGGAATCTGTCTGTGGCTCTCTGGGCCAGTCAGTCTTCGTCAGATGCTACCAGGTACTCATCCAAAAGGGTGTTTGAATGGTGGAGAGGCTGTAAGTGCATTGCTGCATACCAACGTGAGCTGTGCATGGTCGTTGCCAGGCAAAATGAGTTGTGTGGAAGAATTGTTGGCATGTATTCTGGAGATCCTGGAGCAGGCGGCTGGCTTTGCAACGATGTTATATACCCTTTATAAAGCCATTTCCGTGAGGTACCGGTCGCAGCGGACAAAGAGCGCGACCAGCACATCAAGGTTGCAACGGAAAAATTGCACAAAGCAAAGGAGGACCAGGAGAAAGCGAAAGAGGACCACATCTTCGACACCTGGCGAAAGATGAGGCACCACGAAGGGGATGCAGATTTGCGCTGTATCAGAAATTAGCCGCAAGTCCGCCTGCTCTGCATCACTGACCCTGCAGGTCGCGCGAGAAGCCTCAGTAGTTCATGAGGCTCTCCTTCTCTGCTTGTCTGAATTGCAAGTTTGGCAGCTGTCTGTGGCTCCTTGTGAGCCGTTTATTTGGCAGTCTTGATCAACCAGAATCACAATTTGCTCAGAGTGCCATACCTGCTTCACATATTTCACCGCGAAGTGCTTGCAACTCGCACTTCTGCCGTGAATCTTTTTGCGACATCGTCGTGTACTTTCACTGCTTCGTTTTATCCTGTTTTACCCAGACAAGTCCAAGACTCGCAGGGTTTTTCTGGCTTGTCCTCTGCTAGGGGACGCGGAATGGGACATCTTCTCCGCAAGACCTTCGCCATAAAGCCGTTGAAAAGCCTCCGGTAGAGTTGGTGGGAAGCACACGCAGTGCCTGACAGACCATAGGCTGCAGACTGCTTTGTTCCACACTATGGCTGGTCGGAGCGATTGGGCATGTGATTGCAAATGCAGCGCATCTTGGAAGGTTTTCGGGCGATAGCAAGATACTTGCCCTGACTCAAGCCGATGTGTTGTCCATTTAGCTGAAGCGCGTCGGGTTCATGCAGTGCGTTAATAGATCATGAAGAGCTGCACAATGCTGAGAATGAGTTGTATCTTCAGAGAGCACTGCATACTGCATGTGTTGTCATGGGACCACCTTCACCATGAGATCTGCGCGGCTTCAATGAATGGAAGGCTGGCTCGAAATGAAGAGCCCTTGATGTCTTCCTTTCACATGGATTGTGTGCGAATTTTCAAGGCCAGATGTACAGCAGCACTGTGCTCAGCGGGGCTGAAGCTTCTCTGGCATAGGCCCAGTCCTTTCATGTTCTGTTTGTCAGACGAAATCTTCAGGTGGCCGCCCGTGCGTCGACCACATGAACTAAGACGAGTCCTTTGGAAAGGAATCCTCATACCGACCGTAGCTGCAGCCCTGGCAAGCTGGGAGCTGTCGTGCTCGATTGCCGCAGTAGCTGCAATTGAGGCCGCATTTCTGTGCCTCCAATTGCGGCTGCTCGTGCAGATCCGAGCTTGCCTTCAACATTGACCTGAGCAACAATGAGCTTGACAAACGCTGTTGTTTTAATCCTGTGTCTGCCACAGCAAGGCAACATCGGGCAGCATCAGCGACCGGGCATCTTCCTGAGCAAAACTCCTTCATCTGTCCAGCCAGCTAAATGTTCGGCTCTGGCTCTGCAGTACTAAGGCACTACCTTCAAACGCTTCAGTGGTGCTCCATGCCAGCACAGTGCCAAGCCGACCCTGATGGGTCCATGTAGCCGAGCCAAGCAAACATGGCCAGATTGAGGTGAAGAAAGCAAGGATTGCGCAGGGTCAGATTCTTTGCCGAGGCCCTCAACTTTGCTGCAGAGGATGCTTACAGCACTGGAATTTGCATGCAAGGCTTCAGCAGCTGGACCCTTCGGAGGCGACAGTCCCGAATCTTGTTGAGTCTATTGCGTGCTGCCCGTCTGTATCTTGTTCCGCCTCTTGCTCGACGTCTCTTGCTGAGCCCATATCACATTTTCTGTCATTCCACTCAATTTTCGATCTGCCTAAATGCGTACCTGCCTTCCTGCTTGCCTGCCTACATATATCTAGATATACACATACACACATCTTTTGCCAACTCTCTCTCTCTCTCTCTCTTCCCTGGCTCTGCCTATACCTCTCTGTCTCGGTCTTTGCCTTTGTCTTTGTCTCTGCCTCTCTGAGCCTCCGTCTCCCTTCCTCCCTCCTTTCTACCCTCCTTCATTCCTTACGTCCTTCATGCTCCGGTGCAGTGCTCCACTAGCCAGGCTTTCCAGACCGTAGAGCTGCAAGAGGATGCGGGGACGCAGCATGGTAAGCAATGTGCAGCGCTCACGGAAACTGGCAAGCCAGGACAAAAGACCTTGGCAAGTCACCAGATTGCTTGTCCCACTTTCACCTCAGGCAGTTTCACTGCATTCATGCATGAGGGATTGCCACTCTGCTTAAGAATGAAGACTGCATCACGCGCAGGTGGCGCTGTGGTGGAACGACACACACAGCGACTTCAGCATTCGTGCTGTGCGCTGCCAAACGCCTCCAGGAGGCGGAAACTCTAAATGCGAAAGAGCGGTTTGCCTGATACCTGCGGTGGGACCACTTCGAATTTGTCGCTGACTGTGTGGTGAAGTTGCCACAAGCAATTGTGAAGACTTTTCATTGCGGAGATGTAGCTACTGCTTTACATTGAGCTTCTGTGGTTTGCGGTTGCTAGCTGGAGTTTTGAGGATGTCAGCTGAAGCGCTCGACGACACTGGCTGCGGACCTTTGAACTCTGAGGGAAGGGGGAGGGCAGGTGGGCGGGAGCGGGCGAGAGTGGGGTGCCGGGCGGGAGTGTGAGCAGGTCGGGTGGAACAGCAAATTGGAACCCGAGCACACGTTTCTGTCGTCCGCGTCCGCGGGATGTCCACGGCTCTGAGATGCACCGAAGTCTTTCTTTCATACTTGTAACAACATGAACACAGCACAACACAGCAAACACTGCCAAACGCAAGGACAGGGGTCAGATTTCAACACTCGCCGCTGCGGTCGAATGCTCTTGCTGGAGTTTGGCAACCTTGCACCCAACTGCTTGCCGTCCTAGTTGTCCTTGCGCATGGACTGCCATAATTATAAGGCAATCGAGCACCGGCACCTGGCTGTCACTTGCTGTTTGCATTCCATCTTGACAGGTGACGCGCGAGTGGATTCTTTGCACCTGGAGGCCGCCTCCGGGATTATGTTCAAGAAGGCCATTCACTTGGGACCGACACAGTTCAGGTGCGGGCGGCAGAGCCCTTCCACTGCCAAGGCCAGACTATCCAGGCACGTTTCTGTGCTCTTGGCGGGTCTGGTGCCACAGAAGCATCGGATCTAATGTATTGTGTTCCCGCGCCACGTAAGGTAATGCGAATGACTAGAAGGTATTTGACACTTTGGGTACAAAGTCAAGTCCAAATTCAGCATTCCGTGCTCTTTGCACAGACTGTGCACTGCGCCAGACTATGCAATTTGGTTGCCACCTATCTGCGACCGTCGACGGAGTAATCTATGGCTGAGACACACTGGCTCCATGCGAAACAGTCTTTTGCACATGCTTGCAGCAGATGAGAGAGCACACGAAATTGCGAGGTCTTGCGTGTCGAGATTCCAAACTCGCAGATCCACAAGTTCTGTCAAGTGAACGGCCTTCCTCAAAAACAGCTGTGCCCGCAATGAAATCGGCAAGAAACATCCTGGCTTCCGCACTTCTGATCAGATCCAGGTGGACGCGATGCAAATCTAATTCCGTCGCAGGTTCAGCACGGGTGCCATGTGAAGTGATTCATCCTAGAAAGTCCAGAACATTGTGCGTGGATGTGAGGCGAACAGAAAGTCTGGCTGAATCCCAAGTTTGCATTATCTGGAGGTCTTCAGTGCATCTACCCTCGTCCGAAGCAGCACTCATTAGCCTTGATGGCCATTGATTTCTACAAGAAGCCAAGTGCTGAAAAGCTACAGAAGATGGGGGCTGCCACAAACTGGCAAGGTCACAGCCGCCACAACTTAGTACATGGTCGTCTTGCAGAGCAAGCACTCTTGAATTTTTGCAGGCTATTCAGACCACCGTGGTCCTGCCTAAGGGCACAGTCCTCAAGGCTGGGTGCACCACAAATGGCTGAAAAGGGGTTGCATCTGTTGTTTTGCCAAGGAATGCAGCTTCAACTGGGTACCAGTCGCTGTGAATATCCCACAAATTGGTGTGGGTACTGTTCGTGGTCTACATTTAACCTGCCCCGCCTGCGCCTAAAGCTGTCACTCCATGCCATCTCCTGTCAGAAGCACACTTGCAGCAAGGTGTCGCCACGTGGCCTTCAAGGAGGCAACGGGGCCGCAACCTTTGCGTGGCAACCTTACCCCTGAACTTCTACAGGCAGCTTTTCCGGCGTGCTGGCCTTGGCAATCTTTGGATGGCTCCTGATGCCGTAGGTGCCTCGGGTGAGCGCTTCGGAGGGTTTCAGCTTGGCCGAGTTCTGAACCGGTTGAGGTGGCCCCTGCTGCTTCTGCCCACGACTCTCATGTACACCGCAGTTGCAGCCTGAGACGTCTGAGAGCTCGGTTGGAACGGAGCGGCTTGGGAGTGGCGAAGGCTCGGCCCTTGGCGCTGGGAGCTGCGCTTTTCCTATCTCGCGTATCTCGCTGTCTTCGGCGGCGGCGCCGGCTTTGGCGGCTGAGCGGCATGGTCCGCAGGATCGGCGCGCGTAGTCGCTGCCTTTGACATGGTGATCCCTGTCAGGAATCCTTCCATGTATAGTAATGCATTCATCATACAGTCGCAGAAGCTCACCAACAGCTCAAGAGTGTTTCGGGGGAGAAGCCTGTTCTGCTTGCTCGCGTTGCAAGGCCATGTGCAGTTGTGGCAAAATGGGTTTGCTTTCCCCCATCGTGTACTAACCCAGAGAAATGCCGTTCGGACATGCCTGGACAACAAGCAGCCCTTTTGCTGAAGGATTATGCGCGTCAAGGAAACGTACGGCGAGGGTGATCCTTGCTGTATCTGCTTCGGTGCTGTGGACGAGGCAAAGCAAGTTCGAAGGATAGCACCGACAAAGCGATGCAAGATTCAGCACCTGACTAGACTGACTTTGCAGAGGCATCCATTGCGCTGTTGCCATGCCGACACTCCCTGCACGCCAGCTGCTACCGCAGCACTCTGGTCGCAGATGCAGAGTAAGTTGTGAGGTACGGCATCAGAAGAGATCCGCAGTTTGAAGCCTGGTGGCGGGTGCCCTTGCGTTAAGGGTTCAATACTAGGAGACTTGATACCAACACAAGAAGAAAACTCACAAAGACAAGACAAAGAACAGCGAAACTTCTTTGGCCAATCGCTACCTTCTTATGGGGATGCCAGTTTTTTTTAGATGTTTACCAGTACAGCTCCATCATATCCGGCACAGCGTCTATCGTCCAGAAGGATGCAAGCAGCCCAGACGGAAGCAAGCAGGTAGCCACAAGCACATGAGCTTGCCTTGCAGTTCACGCCGTACCTGGCATGCTGTCCAAGGCTTCTGCTAGCTTGCTTTTAAGAATCCCACAAGGATCAATCATATGGTAGGACCATGTACCAGTGACATCTGCAGTTGGCGCAGGGCTTATGCATGGCTCCGCCTGTCAATTTGGCCAGCCTTTTGGCTCCTGTTTCTCGCGCACAGCCATTCTTCGTGTGTTTGTCTCAATACATGGCAGGCAGTGCCTGTCTGCATATATCTGAAGCGGACTTGCTATCTAGACAGCTTATTTACTGTACATGCAGACTTTAGAAAATGTCGCCTTTGCCATGCCCCATTTTGAGGCAACATCCTGTTCCATGCAGTCTGTTAATGGCTGCAGCATCTACAGCTCTTTGCAGAACCTTGTCGTTAGAGAGAGCCCCTGACTGATTGCACGGCTTCAGTGAAACCACACTTGATAAAACGTAATTGAGGGGCTGATCGGGCCCTTGTTGCATTCAGATGTTTTGGGTTGGACAGAGGCTTATCAATTTTGTCTGGCGTGTGACTGCTTGGGCTTGCAGGTTGGATCTGCACCGATTCGTCTTGCCGGCATGTTTTGAGAAGAGCTCTTCTGACCTTTAGGAACTTCTAATTCAGTAGTGAACGTGCTGGAGCCATGACTCGTTTCCGTTTGCACCTGCTCAGCCAGGTACCCCTCTCGTGATTTGATTTGTCCCATCTGCCGCCGAAAGGTGACGGGAGTGGGCAAGCTAGTTTAATCGGGAATGTTTGCGGCGCACATCGCCACTTACAAGATATGCACAATGCACAAGGATGCAGTAGCTCTTCTTATATCGCCTCAAGGTGTGAGCCCTGTGAGATGACCTTTTGGAGTATCCTATTTCATGCCACACGAGATACTCAGACTTGCACCTGATCGGGTAGTAGTTTCACTTAATTTTTGGATACATGCTCAGGAGCTCCATGCGGAGACTCTCTTCAGTAATCGCACCGTGCAGGACAAATGGTGCTGTCAGATTGGAGGTCCTCTTGTTGCGTTTTGTTGATTACATCATCCCACAGCAGTACGAGACGATGCCTGTGCCGCAGCAAACCTTTTGCGTGTCCTGCGTATACCGCGAGATGGGCGGTCAGCAGTCTGCTGCGAAGGCCTGTCACTCTCGCTCCTGTCTTTTGTCGCATACGTGGGATTGAAGCCCAAGGATGCAGCGGGCCAAGGCCCTGGAGGCGTACATGCAGCGCAGCAACATGTGGAAGTGATTTGCCTAATATGGTTGGATGTGGAATAGGAGATGCAACAAGTTCCAGCCATGGAAAAGGCCGCGTGGCGAACAACCAGGCAACTTGTGCAAAATTGTGCAAAGCTGCGAAGCTTTCGGTGGCAAGTGAATGAGAGCTGGCCTGTGAGGTTCAGCTTGCAGTGTCTCCTCTTGGTGGTGTCCCTGGAGTGGAGCCGGCATAGTTGAACTCGCGATCTGCCTCTCTTGGTGCGCAATTAGCAGAGTTTAGCACCAGGCAACAGCATATCATTCTTCTGTGATCGTCAATGGTGATGCCTTTGCCTTATTGCAGCTTCCTCTTGTCTTGCATGACGATCAATATATGGCTACCGCTCGATATGAAAGGTCCGGAACAAGGGCGAGCGCACATCCCATCCAGACCCCGATCCAGCTCCGGATCAAGTCCCCGACTTCCGTTCCAGACCCCTCCGTTCCAGACCATCGAATCCAGTACCTGAAAAGTGATGTTGAGCTGGGTGTCCGTTCCATACCCATTCCATACCTGTTCCATACCCGTTCCAGACATTTCCAGACCAAACAAAGTATTTAGCACATACTCACCCTGTATCATTGTGAGAACCAGCTAGC